TAATAATTTCCCAATTTAAGTTAAAGCAAGAAAGATTCTTTCAGAATCTCACCAGGATTTCAACTGTGAACTCGAGCCTTACATTTCCCTGTTACATGTATTTCCGTCACTTCGCAGTGGAATCAGGAGCTCGTCAATGTTAGAGCATAATAATATGGATTGATTAGTATCACCTTAAAGCTTGTTCATTTGTCTTGCATTTGGAGAAGAAAATACCCGTCTTTCTTCAATAAAAGTCAAGGTATTTCCGATTGAAGGATGTGCTGGTCGCCTGGAGTCAGACAAAAAAAAATTAGCGAGAAAATGACAGCCAGAATTAGGTGATTTCCAAAGATTGAGTATACTTGGAAACTGCAAATCAATTACATTTTTTGTGTGCCTTTGATCAATCTTTTCAGTAAAATTCACACAGGGATGTGTTCTTAAATGGACATAGATCTAAATCTAGAAGATATTGAGACCAACAAAAAAATAATAAAATAAAAAACCAGTGCCCAATATCCAGAAAGGAATGCCGATTTCCCGAATTGAATTAGATCTATGAAGACGAGCGCCTGATTTCACCACGCTGCCTCCCTCCTCAGCCCTGCCGTACACAGCTGTGAGGTTCCCATTCCTGTACGAGAACTTGCTGTCGCTGTTCAAACCCCACCTCGTCAGACCAGGAGTGTACACGCTACGTGAGTTGGCTCAATTCTACACATCTGAACAACTGTAATTTTGTTCTCTTCGTCTGTCTCTTTGTTTGTCTGTCTGTTTGCTTGGGTGTGTTGAGAAAAAATACCTCAATACAATGATCGTTAGTTCTTGTTTGGAAAAAGTGACCATGCAGGGGTGTACGCGCTACGTGAGTTGGCTCAACAAGTCTTACCAACTGTGATTTTGTTCTGTTCGTTTGTCTGTCTGTCTATTTGTTTGCTTGGGTATGTTGAGAAAAATACTTCAACACAATTGTTCGCTTCTAAGCACAAGGGGGCTATCCCGAAAAATGTTGTTTTGAGAAAATCGAAGGTAAAGGTTTCTTTACCCTTGTTCAGTTTCTTTAAAAGACAAGGAGAGTTTTCTCTATAACCAAACAAATGTACACACCAATGATACCAGACTTCTCCTACAGGTAGGGCAATGCCCACTTGTGTAGTAGGTCAAGATTTCTGGAAACCCCCAAAATTACCATTAGTTCTTGCTTGGAAAAAAGCGACCAGGAGTGTACACGCTACGTGAGTATGGTCAAGTCTTACCAACTGTGATTGTGTCGTGATTGTCTGTGTGTCTGTTTGTCTGTTTGTTTTGAGCGTGTTGAGAAAAAAGTACATCAATACAATGATCGTTAGTTCTTGCTTGGAAAAAATGACCATGCAGGGGTGTACACGCTACGTGAGTTGGCTCAAGTCTTACCAACTGTGATTGTTTGTCACACTAAGTATACGCGTAATGCCGTATTGAACACTATCAAACGCACTTTTTTCTACTGGTCAGATGGCGTCAATCTCATATAAATGGACAAAGGATTTTAAAAAATTAATTGTGACTGTGTTGTATTTGTTTGTCTGTCGCTCTGTTTGATTGTATGTGTTGAGAAAAATACATCAACACAATGATCGTCAGTTCTTGCTTGAAAAAGCGAGCCATAAAGACAGTGCATGGGCTCTCGTGGTGTAGAGGTCCCGGGTTCGAATCCGGATAGGGATGGACATTTTTTTTCCCTAAAATGTTCTCTTTTCACATCGGTTCCTACTCTCTAGCTCTAACAATGTTCTGTCTTCTGCTTTCGTCTCCACTTTCTGCCCCCACCCCCTCACCTCCTTTGCCCTCTCCTCAGGCTTCTGACTCTTTCTGCAGCCTTTTTTCTGCTACTCCTTTGCTCCTTCTTACTGCTGTCTTTCAGCCACACCCCTGATCTTATGGTAGGAAAGATCTACACTTAGCCTTCTCGGACAAGGGCTAAAAATCTTGGAGGTCCTGTGTGCAAGTTGCGCACGTTAAAGATTCCTTGGTGGTCCAAAATCGATTTATAGAGTAGGCTTCGGCCGCCACTTGGGCAAAATACAAAATGTCTTACCATCTGAAAATGTTTAATGTGTCCCGCACCTTCCCATGGCCTTACGCAGTTGCGAGCGCCTTAAAACATCTACCAAAAAAAGACAGAAATAATAAAGAGAAAAAAAGGAAATACGACTTTTTTTATGTGAATGTTCTACTGCCCCAACGACCGACAGAGTGTAGATCATACAGGAGGTGGGCTTCGACCCTGTCTGTCAGGGTCAACCCGAGCTGAGACATGCATTCGACATCCGAGTAGGAAGAGGGATATAATAATTATTTTACTCTTTTCCTCATTTTAATTAGTCTTACGGCAGTCCTAAGCTTGCGACCACCACCTTCTGTTGGGACCTCAGAAGAGAATGGTTTTTTGTTCTTTTTTTTTTTTCATTTCATCAGTCCTGTCTGAAAAAGCCACCTGTCTTATACGGCCACTTTTCTCCTCAACAATGAGTGCCCGTCTTACAGGAGTTTGAATGTACGTGTATTATAATTATTGTTATATATATATTTACAGACATATATTTTTTTTCTT